GCAGCCAGCCAGGAACGACTTAAGGCCCTGCTAGAGAGCAAGAGCCTCCTCCATCAGCAGCTTCCTGAAGACTTTGTGATGTTGAAGGAGAAGCTAGACCAGAAAAATCTGTCCGTGAAGGACCTCGGCCTTGTTGAGAATTACATCAGCTTCTATGACCACTTGGCGGGCCTGTGGGATTCTCTGAAAAAGGTGAAGGTCTCAGAGCAAGAGAGAGTGGGGATTCGACTACAACAGGTCCATGAGTGGCTAGCCAAGAAGCGTTTGAGCTTTACCAGCCAGGAGCTGGATGACCTCCAAAGTGAAATCCAGAGGCTCACGTACCTGGTGAACCTCCTGTCCCGCTGCAAGATAGCAGAGGGGAAGATGAGAGGTAGCACAGCAGAAGAGGTCTACAGTGTCCGGAAGATCCTTGAGAAAACATGCAAGTTCACCCAGGAGGATGAACAGCTTGTGCAGAAAAAGATGGAAGCTCTGAAAAACACCCTTCCCTGCTCTGGCCTGGGCATCTCAGAGGAAGAACGAGTGCAGATAGTCAATGCTATGGGTTTTCCTCGTGGCCACTGGTTCAAGTGCCCCAATGGCCACATCTACGTGATTAGCGATTGCGGGGGAGCCATGCAGAGAGGCACATGTCCTGACTGTAAGGAGGTGATTGGGGGCATAAATCATACCCTGGAAAGGAGCAATCAGCTTGCCTCTGAGATGGATGGAGCCCAGCATGCTGCCTGGTCTGACACGGCCAACAACCTGATGAACTTTGAGGAGATCCAGAGGATGCTGTAGGAAGATGGCACACCGCTGCCTTGTGCCTGGCCACCTCCCGGCTGGGGTCGGCTCCCTCTTGAGGGAACCGAAGTTTGTTTTTATTATTGTCCTTTAGTCTTAGCACCTATTTAAGGATCCACTTTTAGGGGTTGCCCACATTTGTTTCTAGATTTCCCCTGCGCTAGAATAAGCACTTTACCTCCAAAACTGAGAGCAAAGTTAACAGATTTCTTCTCTTTTTTTCTCCTGCAAGTTAGTGGACAGGCTCCTTGGAGCACGTTTGGGGCTTCCACCTTGAGCTACCTGCCGGTATCTCTGGGTCCTGACTCAGTCAGATGTTTTTTCTGCAGTGCTCCGGGGGCACAGAGTATGAACTCAGTGAAGCAGACTGAATTCTAATTGCTAGGCCCTAACTTGTAGACTAATTTTAATTCTAATAAACAGAGGTCCAGAGGAGTTGTTTATGAACTGCTTATCCTTTCAAGGAGCACAAAAATCCCTCCCACCCTCCTCCTTGGGCACCCTCACTCCCGGAGACGGAGGCATGTGATAAGGCAAAGACTTCAGTGACTAACCCTGACCCAGTTACATATTCACTGAGAGTGGAAAGGTGTGACTACCCACAGCTGGGGGCTTATGCAGCAGGCCCAGGCTAACCTAAGGAGTGATTCCCCAATACCCTCTCCTATGACTGGCACTTTGGGATGGTGGAGGTTTGTCTGCAGGAGGAGTTCAGTAACAGTGCTGGCTCCCCAGGGCCCTGAATGGAACTAAACTTACATTTGGTACCAGCAGCACCTATCCAAAGTGTGACCCTTTGTCCCAACACTATTACAGCTTTTCATGGGCAGGGTTAGCATGCCAGCAGCTTCTGCAGGCCCCAGACCCATGCCAGAAGCCAGCCCCCAGGCCTGCTGCCTGCATACATTTTCCCTCAGTCCAGTGTTCCTAGAACAGACACTTAGGCATCTCAGGTCTTTCTAATGTTGGTGAGAAAAATGTCCTTTTCCTATGTATGCATATTCTTTTTTGTCTTTACTATGCACTTTAGCCTATAAAGCCAATTAATAAAAACGATGATTGAGAAATTTCAGTGGTCCACATTTGTCGTCAACTGTTAGAAGCAGCTCGGACGGCTTGAGACTGAGGATGCGAACGGAGGCACTGCCTACAAGGAGGCCAGTCCTGTTTCTGTGGTACAGGGTTTTTATTTAGCTGGTGAGTCATTTTTACTCAAGGTAAAAAAATTTTTTTTAAAAAATTTTATTTATTCATTTGAGACACAGAGATAGAGAGCATGAGCAGGGAGAGAGGGAGAAGGAGGCTCCCTGCTGAGCCAGGAGCCCAATGTGGGGCTTGATCCCAGGACCCTGGGATCATGACCTGAGCTGAAGGCAGACGCTTAACCATCTGAGCCATGCAGGCGCCCCAAGAATTTTTTTGTATAAAAAGGTTTAACTTGAAGTTTCCTTCCCTAGAGACAACTCTCTTAACAGCTTCCTGAGTCCTCCCAACGGTAAGCTACGCACATGCAATGTATAACCCCTTAAAAAAAAAAGTACCCAGTTCTGCACTTGGCTTTTTTAACCTAACAACCTTAACTTCGAGATTTGGTTTAGATTAGATTAGAATTCGATTTCTGTAAGCAGATAGACACAATGAGTCAGCATACTCCCATGATGCAGGTATGCTGTTATTTACTGAAATGGAGCCTTCTGTTGACGACTGTTAGGTGCAGCCTAAATGAATACCTTTGAACACATTCTTTTAATGTCAAGGGTATGTGCTACTGGGTAACTATTACAGTTTTTGAGCTGGTGGGGGCGGTGTATGTACTCCTTGAAATTATATAGGACAGACTACAACCATTAACAATTTTCTCAAGGGGTGTCTCCTACCTTTCATCTCGTTGTCAAAGGAACCTATGATTCAGAAAGGATGAGAACCACACTCTACAGGGTAAAAGCTGTTTTTTGCAACAAGGAGCGAATTTATCTGGGATTCCTTGTGTCCCCTTTGAGCTTCCATCTCCAGTAGCACTTCCATAGGACAGTCAGAGTATGGGTTCAGGTAGACCCTGGTTTCAAAAACCTGAACTCCCAGTGTAACTTTGGAAAGTTAACTCCATTTTTCCTGAAACTTTATGTGCAAAAGGCGGATGACTACCTCTCCCACAGAGTGTAGTGAATTTAATGAGAACAGCACTCAGTACACAAAATGTGTTGTACATCGCTGATGCTCACTGGATGACAGCTTTTAGTTCCAGGACAGACAGCAAGAGAACTTCTAGGAAGAATTTCCTCCACATCCAGCTCCTCTACAAGCATCAAGATGCACTGGAAGTAGATGGGGTAGACTATGCTATTGAGGGATGAACAGAAGAATAAAACATACAATTCGGATTGGTTTATTCTCCCTCCCAAAATACACTTCCATTTGTTGTTGGGTTTTTCTACACCCTACACGGGGCTCAAACTCACAACCCCAAGATCAAGAGTCGTACACTTCTCTGAGCCAGCCAGGCACCCCCATTTGGTATCTTCTTTATTTGAAAGTCAATCAACGAGAAGAGCCTTGGCTGACTCAGGGATGCTTAGGAAATAACTCCACATACCACCACCACCCCCTGACCTTATGTTCTTTTTTTAATGTACAAATGATACAGATTTTACATTTAAAAAAATTTTTTTTACAAACGGAGAGAAGAGATCAAGCCAGGATGACTTCCCAGAAGGAAGGGATCTAAGGGCTGCCCCATGAACTTCAGGCCAACATGGCTACTTCCTCCTCTTGTATCTATGAAGAAAATCCACAGAGTAAAGACCAACTCCCAAAGCCAAAAAGAGGAAGGAGGAGCTTTCCCATGAAAAGTCCAATCCCAAACAGGCACAACCTCTGGCCCTCCAAAACAGCAAACATTACCTGGATTTAGACTTAAAGTTTCCTCCTCGTCTCTGGTGGAGCAAGCCCAACTGTTTCCTTTCTTCAAAGGAGGGGCTGCGAGTGAGAAGATGAGACACTGAAATGAAGCTGGACGACTGACAATGTCTCCCCGCCGCCCCCACCCAGCTCCCACACGAAGCAGCAGCATCACTGAGGCACTGTTTTCAGGGCCTGAGGTTCTAAGCCTGGTGTTTCCACCTGATAATATGGGATTGTGGAAGTCAGGGCCCAGCTTTAAAAAAAGTCTGGAAGCTTCGTCTATCCCTAACCCAAACCCAGCCCAAGGGATACTGATTTGGGGGCGGGGGGGGGGGCGGGTAACACATTCCTAAGAGCAAACCATGATCCTTTGCCTTTCTAGCTCTCCTGAGAGAAAGGTCTATTTCAGAACCAGAAATTTTCCCCTCAAGGCAGGAGGGCCTTAACATTTTCCTCCTGTGCTCACCCTGGGATCCAGAGATGGGCTTAGCTGGCGATGGGGGGGAGGGGTAGTGTCAGACAGGAACCCTTAAAATTATATATTATAAAGCTACAAGTATATAGGAATTGGGGAGTACAGAAGGAGGAAGAATGTACATAGCTTTGATCAAAATACAAAGAGCCCCATGATGACTTAAAACCCTACCCAGCTCGATACTGTTTCAGGGCCTTCTTGCTTGTGTTGGTAAGCTCTTCATCAAATACAGATTTCTTCGCCTGCTTTTGTTTCTTGGCTGTGCACAGAAAGCATGGGTTAGATCTGTCCTCTTTGGCTCAAGCTCCTAAATCCTATTCTTAAGTTCAGGGTAATGGTTCCAAGTTCAGTGGATGTTCTGGCCAGATGATTTACTGACATGGGCAACAAGACACCGGATCCCAGCAGGAAAAGGATGAGGAATTCAGAAGTGGTGTGACGAACCACTCCAAAGGATGATTGCAGAGTCCCAAAGTGAAAAGAACCACTGAAATATGAAATGGGCTGAAGACCGGCTTCACTTCTTTTTTATCCTGACCTGCTCCTCCAAGGAGCAGTTTGTAAGGACTTAGGCTCGAGTCACGGTCTGGGTTCAGATCCTAGCTCTCCCCACTAACCATGGGGTCACTCACCACTTGGGAACCCAAAAATAACTGTACATACTGGTTCACACATTACTCAAAAAATATGGGCTCTTATTAACCCTCCAATTTTCTCCCTGACCAGAAGCACAAGTTTCAGGGAGAACCTTCCTACCAGCTCCTATGGGCTCCCCGTCTGCCTACCAGGGCCTCTTGTTGGCTCCTCCTCAGGCATTGCTCGGGCCCTCTTGGCTCTGCGGTTCCTCTTGGCCAGGCGCTCAGCAAACATCTGTGCCTTCAGGATTTCAAACTGGGACCTTTCCTCTGCCTAGAAAGAAGGGTGATGTGAGTACGGAACAGAACAGGAAGTGCTGACCCATGCCACTGGGGAGGGACCAACCACTTACCGTCATCTCCCCCTTTTTCTTGGCATCCTTCATAAACTTCTTCCTCTTCTTCTTTCCCCTTAAGGCCAAGTCAAACTCCTGCAGAGCCTTAGCAACTAGGATGAGGAGAGAGTACGAGATTTCAGGTACTGTTTAACGTCTTTTTTTAAAAGAAGTACACATATTTTAAATTGGTACATAAGAGTTCAAAATAAGAAGCAGCAACTCATATGCTCTGCTGGTGGTTACCTCTCCATCTCACTAACGTGCTTGTTCTCCATTAATCCACTTGAGACATTCGTTACCTACGTCGTGTTGTGAAAGATGATTTGGTTCACTTATACGCCCAGACCTTCCCGCCATATAGTTATAACTATGTTTTAACACAGAAATTTAACATGCATGCACCCTTTTTGTCCCATCAGATATAGGCAATATTTCTTAAATTGCTGGTACAACCTCTTTGGAGGGTAATTTTGCAATCCCTAACAAAATAATAAATGCACATATCCTCTGGCCTACAATTTCACTTTCGGGGATTTATCCTGCAAATCAAATGCACGTGCTTAATTGTGAAAGGGCATTTGTACAGTTAACTCACTACATGGTTGGAATAGCAAAAGATTACAAACAACTTCAATGTCCCTCAACAGGGGATTAATTAAATAAATTATAATCTATCCACATGATGGAAGACCATGCAGCCATTAAAAAAAAAAAAAGGCAGCTATGTATGTGCCTCTATAAAATCTAAGCTATAAAATTAACTGGAAAAAACAAGGTGTAGAAAAATGTGAATTTGTGTGATAAAAAGGGGGTTGGGGAGGGCAAAGAATACTTACAAATATTCCCGACCTACTTTTTTTTTAAATTGTGGCAAAACAGATACAACATAAAATTTGCCATTTTACCCATTTTTTTTTAATATTTATTAGAGAGAGAGAGCAGGGAGAGGGGCAGAGGGAAAGGGAGAGACAGTCTTAAGTAGACTCCATGCTGACTGCAGAACCCAATGTGGGGCTCAATCTCACGACCCTGAGCTGAAACTGAAAGTTGGACACTTAACCTGACTGCACCACCCAGGCACCCCTTACCCATTCGTAAGTACACAATTCAGTGGCATTAATTATGTGCACAGGATTGCACAACCATCACCGTGACCTGTTTCTGTAACTTTTTCATCATCCCCAAACAGAAGCTCTGTAACCGTTCGTAACTCCCTCCCCACAACCCCTGGTAATCTCTATTCTACTTTCTGCATCTATGGATTTACCTCATATAAGGAGGATCATATCTATTTGTCCTTTTGCATCTGGATCATTTCACTTAGGTTCACCCTTGCAGTGTGTATCCACTTCATTATGGCTAAACCATATTCTATGGGATGTGCATACCACATCTTCTGTGACTGTCCATCTGCTGACACACACAGGTCGCTTCTACCCCTTGGCCACTGGACACCGGAATACAGTGTGCCTCTGAGACCCTGTTCTCAGTTCTTCTGGGAACAGACCTAGCAGTGGCAGTGCTGAGTTCTAGGAGAACTCAGACCCAGCTTTTTGAGGGACCTCTCCAACATACTTTTTTCCTTCTTCCTCTCTTCTTTGGTCTGGAACCAGCTTCTCTCAGGCTCGTGGTTCGGTGCCTCCTTCCCCTTCTCCAGGAGTCGCTTTGCTGTGTTGATCTGTGGAGACAGCACAAGGATGGCTGCCACAGGACGGCAACCGTCTGGCCAACACCGGGTTTTGGCAGGGCAGGACTGGCAGGCACCGCCGCGGCCCACTTCCCGCCCCGCCCTGCAGCACCCCCCCCCCCAGTCTCGGCGCAGCCCTACCTGAGCTTCCGAACGCTGCAGCTCTTTCTCCTCGGCCTCTAGCTGCAGAACTGCATACACGTCCTTCTCCATCTTCTCAATCTTGTCCCGGAATTTGAGGATGACATCTCAAGGAAAGAGAACAACAAAAATTTTTAAATAAGGATAAATACTGTGTAACTGATGAAAATAACAGAGATGTGTATTTAGTGACAAGAGAAAATTGGGGTTTTTTATGGGTGACTTCTCCGCTTCACAACACACCCCCTCCTCATCCCACCCCCAAAGAGCCTGCTGCGCTTGGAATAAATTTCAAACTCCTACATGTGGCCCCTGCCTACCTCTCGGAGCTTCTATCTCCACCCTTGCTCACCGTGCCCTGGGCCCTCTCTGGCTCTTCCCTCACTGACTCGAACACTGCGTCTGCTCCTGCCTCAGAGGCTTTGCCCTGGTTTTCTCCGCTTGGCACACTGTCCGCAGACCGCTCATGGCTGCCTCATTCTTATCTAGGACTCAGCTCAAATGCCATCTGTTCAAAGGCCTTTCCTAAACAGCTTTTGGAAGCAGCATCTCGCCTCCTGTCATTCTGGATCACATCTACTCTTATTATTTATTGTCTTCTTCCTACCAGAGTATCAGATGTTTTGTTTCCTGCTATATCCCTAATACCTAGGATAGAATAAACAGCACCGGGCACTTGGTAGTACTCAATAATTGCTAGCTGATAGAATGAATTAAGTGAAAATGAAAAAAATGAAAGAAAAAAAAGACATGTATAAATGGAATAAAGGTCTCAAAAATATGTGCCTAAATGCTAACAGTGATGAGCTCTTCCACAAGCAATTACATTTTTGCTTTTTTTAACTAATTTCTAATACTGAATATATATATTATTTTTATACATTTAAAAAACAAAGAATGTGACCCTACAGATGAGAAGGAATGAATGAAAGACATCTAGAAACAAGAAAGTGCTGACCTCTTTCCCCCACCAAAAGGAAGGCGGGTGGTGATTAATAGGGCTTTTGCCCCAAGAAGAAGCCTTCTCTTCCCAAAGGTTGGAAAATAACCTATGAGTGGGGCACTCGAGGTGTAAGTCTGTCATTTCCTTTCACAGAAAGAGAGACACAGAGGGGCAAGGGGAGACCAGCCCAGGGTCACTCAGCAAGGAAGTGGCAGGCCTGGAGTTCAAATCCAGCTCCTGACTACTCTCACCTATTACCCTCTGTTCCTGGCTCTGTCCCACAGAGTCCGATCCAGGACCCACCCTGCCCACCCCAACCGCCCACAGCTGCTACAGTGGTGCCTGCTCACCTTGGGGAAGTATTCGGGCCTTCACGGGGGCCTTGGCGGCTTTTACGATCTCCTTCAGCATCTTCCGCTCCTCTTCTCCCACTAGAGACACTGAGCGCCCAGCCCTGCCAGCCCGCGCCGTTCGCCCCACCCGGTGGACGTAATGCTTGATGGTGTTGGGCATTGTGAAGTTAATTACCTGGAAGGTCAAAGTCAGACCTGGGAGTTGGAGAGAGACAGAACACAAGGAGGCAAAAAGACTCCCAGCAAAAGTTCAAGGAAGACAGAGGCTACTCACCGTTTTAACGCCCTCGATGTCAAGTCCACGGGCTGCCACATCTGTGGCCACAAGGATGTCGATCTGTTCATCCTTAAAGCGCCTAGAAATAGCCACAAACAGACGTTCACCTGGATATTCAACCCCAAAAATGCTCCACAGGAGGCTGAGCCAGCAGAGAGAACACAAATAGTTTTGGATTCAAGCAGGAGGATACAGACTGTCACAGTGATAATCTAAATGAGATCCTAAACGTCAGACCATCTGATGCTCACATGAGACCTTAAACACCCTGTAACACAGAACAAACACAGTTTGGTTTATACCACCTTAAGCTCCAAGTCCTACAAATGTGGAAGTTCGGGAACCACAGAGCTAGATTGTAGGAAGTAGCAAATGCAAATGTCTCAGCATTCAAAGCAGCCTTTCTTAAAAAAATACCTTGCAGCTGCCTATGATAAATGCAGGCAGGTGAAGAATTCTAAAGGGTCCCTCCTGGCCTATGAGCATGACTTCATTCTATAAGAATTAAACAAACAAACAAAAACACATGGAAAACACAGGACGTGGCAAAGTACATGCTCAGGAAATGGTGGCTGGCTCTGATTTCAAATCTCGTTCTAACAGACCCCGGTATGCCCACTGCTCCGGAAAAGCTATAGAGAACAGGACACATGCTATGTCTTCCCAAGTCAGAATTTCCTGCCGTGGCCCCACTCAGCAGCTCCAACACTCAAGCCCTAGGGCATCAGTGTCAGCTTCTGCGAGACTATGAGGAATTCTCAACATATCTAAGACATAATCTTACAGGAGCTGGACTAAAATCTTTACACTGGGGGACTGTGCCATCTGTATTCCCTGCAATCGCTCTAACATAACCTTTGGGTGGTATTCTCTCTCTCTCAATGAGGAGAGCCCTCTCTAAAGGATGGGAGGGAGCCTCAGCCCCCTGAACTTTACCGGAGCGCCTCTAGCCGCTGCGTCTGTGATAGGTTGCCGTGGAGCTCGCCCACCTGCAGCCCCAGGAGCCCCAGAAGGATATGCATGCGGTGGGCCTGCTTCTTGGTCTGGGTGAACAGCATCACATGGTCAGTGAAGGTTCTTGTCAGCAGAGCTGGTAGGGAGAGAAGAGTGAGTTGGAAGCCACCTCCGATACAGACTCCCTCCGCACCTGTGAAGTGGCTGATGTGGCTGGCACTGGGGGTGACAGGCAAGGTCCCTGCCTTGTGAGGCTCCCATTCCAGGACACAGAGGAGAAGCCAATTCCCAATTCCCAAGGGTGACAAATGCTGTCAGAGAGGGAAGGGAAGATGGAAAGGCAGCTTTAGGGCTGGCCTCTCTAAAGAGGTGATGTTAGGCTGAATGACAGGGCAGGCTCGTTCACAAGATTTGGGGGAAGATTCCAAGCAGAGGAAGGAGCAAACGTGAAGGCCCCGAGGCAGGACAAGCTTAGTGTGTTTGAGAGAACGGAAGCAGGAGAGTATGGCTGGGCACCCAGGCTGAGGACTCCAGGCAGGCAGGGGCCAGGTCCCAGAGGGCTGTAGAGGACTCACTAGGGAGTGTGGACTGTGGACTGAAAGCAATGGGAGACACCCAACAGTTGTAAACAGGGAGGTAACATGAGTGAATGTTTGCTTATAAATGATCATTTTAAATGATCTGCAGTGTGGAGAATGGTCGCCAAGGGACAAGAGTGGGAGTAGGAGCCTAGTCCAAGGCCACTGCAACAATTCAGGCAAGAGAGGCAGAAGCTTGAACCAAGGGCCAGAGGGGCAGTTTTGGGGGAAGTGGCTGGGCGTTCAGCAGGACCTAAGGAGGACTGGACAGTGGGAGGGAGGTGAGGTGACAGAAGAAAGGGGGAAGGACCCAAGGTCAAAGTGGCAGAGCACATTAATGGCAGTACCACGCAACAGGTCAGGGGAGCCCGTCAGAGGAAGTGCCAGGCAACACCCAGCCGCTTCAGTGTGCCACCCACAGGGCCAAGGGAGTCCAGCACCCCCTGCCCAGTCCCTCCTGGGCTTTCACCTGCCACGATGGCTTCCCGGTCCCCTTCCCGATTCGGCCGGATCCGGATGAACTCCTGCCGCAGGAAGGGGGCCACATCCGTGTTGCTGTTTACAAATATTCGGACAGGATTCTTCAAGGAAACAGAAGCCAGATCTTTTACCTGCCCAGCACAAACACAGGGATGCTCACTCGTCTGCCAGGAGGCGGGGGGAGGGGGGTAGTGGGTGGGGATGGGGGTGGAGGCAAGCCATGCTTGCCCCAACCCACCCCCTGCAGCCCAGCCTGGGTCCTCTGCATTCACCCCGCCAAGCAGAATTCCTGTGGCCCACCTCATCTGTCATGGTGGCTGAGAAGAGCATGGTCTGGCGATGGTGGGAACACATCCGGATGATCTCCTTCATCTGTTCCTCGAAGTACTCGTCCAGCATCCTGACGAGCAGGGAGAAGGAATCAAGAGAAATGGATTGAGCTCACATCTGTCACAATGATGGACAGAAAACATCAGACAAGCTGATGTTCTGATGTTGTAACTGGTTACGTTTCAGGCTTCTTTACTTATGTATTAATATTGTTAGTTTACCCTTTTACCAAGATTCATCAAGAACTAGCATTTGGCCACATTTGCTTTATCTTTTTTCTTTTTTCTGAACTATATATAAATAAGTGGCAGACATCACAACACCTTACCCCTAACTATCTCAGCACACATTCCCTAAGAAAAGACTTTCTCCTATATAACCATCATGTCATTATCACACCCCAAACGTTTAAGTGTTTGAACAATACCTGAAATACAGTCCAAGTTCAAATATCCCTAACTGTCCCCAAAATGTCATTTTATAGCTATCTTTTTAATCCAGGAAACCGAAGTTCCTATGTTGCATTGGTTGTCATGTTTCTTCAGTCTCCCTTAATCTACAGAAGTTTCCTCAAGCTTTTCTACACTGTTCATCGAGGCGGGAACGTGCAGGGGAGCGGCTGTGTACTTCCCTCTCCGTCAGGAGACACAGCCCATCCGTCTGTTCCAGTACCACTGATGTGAGTTTGATCACATGACTGAGGTGGTATAGGCCAGTTCTCTTCACTGTAAAAGAATCTTTTTGTCTTTGTAGATAATATTAATCAGTAGGATTACTCTGACTCCAATTTCTTCAGCTAACTCAATCCTTCACAGTATTTCTTCCCCAGTTCAGGCTCCAGGCGAGCATCACGTACTGCATTTAGTTGTCACGGTCCTTGATCTCCTTAGTAGGAAACATCCACAGACCACATCTTGGTCTTCTGAGACTTCAACATTTTTTAAGAAGACAGTTCCCTTCCCCTTTAAAACCTCAATCAGATCACATTCCCTTTGCTCAGAAAGATCTCCTTTACCTCCCTCATGACTCAAGAAGGGTTCATTTGCTCTGGGGAAATCAATCAGTTATTCAATGAACACTTACTGAGCATGTGCTAGATACGAGACACAACCCCGGGCACAGAGCAGCAAGCAGCACAAAGCCAGCCCTTCATAAATACGTTCCAGAGGAGAGAAGGGTCACAACCACCACACAGCCATTCAGGTGACAATGCAGGAGGTTGGAGAGGCATAGCACCTCAGAGAATGGAAAGCAGGAACTGTTGTAGACAGTGGCCAGCAAAGGCCCTTCAGGAAGGTACAGGTCATTCCAAACTAGGGGACAGCAAGCGTAGAAGCCCCTACGTGGGGCTGTGCTGATAGGACTTCCCAATGGATGCTTTGTGGGTAGGAGATGAGGACACAAGAGCGACGCAAACAATTCTGGCCTGAACCAATGGGAGGACAGAGCTGCCATGCACGGAGATGGGAAAGGGAGGGAAGGGTGTACGGGGTCCAAAGCTCAGCTCAGGACCTCTTTAGTTTGGAGATGCTTCAATTGGAGAGTAAACCTGAATGGGCTTTGGGCTTGTGGCCTCCTTCCCCTGCCCCCACTCTGATCATGAGTCCAGTTCACTGAGGTTCATTCTGTTCGCTCATGAAGGAAAGAGGCGAACAGATGGGACCCGTATGAGAGGAGAGGGAAGGAGGGAGTCCCCTACCACAGTAACAGAGGCTGTTTGTTGAGTCCTCACCATGCACTGCCACTCTACCTGTATTACTCCTGGAATCCTCCACACCATGAAGGGGGGTATAATTCTTTTTTTTTAAAAGATTTTATTTATTTATTTGACAGAGATAGAGAGCACAAGTAGGCAGAGTGGCAGGCAGAGGGAGAGGGAGAAGCAGGCTCTGCTGAGCAGGGAGCCGGACGTGGGGCTCAATCCCAGGACCCCAGGATCATGAGCTGAGCTGAAGGCAGCCGCTTAACCGACTGAGCCACCCAGGCGCCCCTAAGCGGGGTATAATTCTTATCCCTCGCAAACAAGAAGAGATTTGCTTTAGAATCTAAGTAAGAGGGACGTCTGCCTGGCTCAGCTGGTGGAGCATACTACTCTTGATGTCAGGGTTGTGAGTTCGAGTCCCATGATGAGTATAGGGATTACTTAAAAATTTTAAAAAGCTTAAACAAACAAAAAATCTAAATATTTCCAAATCTCAGTTAGGAAATGGCAGAGCCAGAATTTGATTTACCCTCCCTCTTAACCATCACATCACAGAGAGAGAAAAAAAGCAGGATAATCCAGACTAATGATGAACAGATGTCCAGATGTGAACAGCTATACTGGCATCGCACACATGGCCATGGCAAGATCCATGAAGACTAATGCAGAGGCAGGTTCTCTTCTGGGGTGTGGCCCCCAGGAACCCAGAGCACTTGGGGCCCCACCATTTCAGGTGTACCTGTCAGCCTCATCCAGGATGAGCACCTCAATACTGCTCAGGTGGAAGGAAGGGCAGTTGTGGAGATGATCGATGAGCCGGCCTGGGGTGGCAATGAGGATGTCGGGTGCTGCCCTCAGAGCTGCTTCCTGAGACTTCACGTCCAAGCCTCCTGCAGGGAAGAGCCCCGCCAAGTGGCCGAGTCAGTCAGTTGTTCAACAGTCTGGACTGGGCCCTACCACCTGCCATGTCCCATGCCAGATGCCAGAGAAAAGCAGAGAACAAGACTGACAAAGGCCCCGCCTGTGTGGATTTTACAAGACATCGGGAGAGACAGATTATTTCATTACAACTGTGCTAAGTGTGAAAAAAGATGATGACATGAGGGCACTTCAGAACCAAAGGATTCAAACACCCAGGGACTGACAGAAGCAGCTGTCAAAGCAAATGATTTCTCCATCCCCTTTGCCTTCCCACTGCACAGAGAGGGTTACATGAAGGTTGGAGAACAGTACCATAGAATATCATCAGAAAAATTCTGCCCCAAATATTTGATTCTCTATTCATACAAAGCAGAAATTACATCCTAAATTTGTTCAGTCCCAAGAAAATTTTTTTGCCCTGAATTTTGAAGTTTCGTTTTTTAAGGCTGATTAAATCTCAGTGAAACCCTCTCCCTTACCCCCAGCTCTCTACTCTGAAAACACCTCATCTGGTTTTTCAAGTGGGTTTAATCACAGGAAGGTTTTCCTGGTACCT